TTGCTTCAAACTGCACTCACAAATATACGATGTCTGTGACGGCTGTCTGTAAGTAATCGAGTCTGGGCCAAACAATTCAGGGTCGGATATCATGAGCATCAACCTACGCAATTGACCACCTGACCACCTGACCACCTGACCACCCGATTTCCTGTTGGTTGCCTCTTACGCCCAACACCGGTTGCTACAGACCGATTCTAACCAGGATGTTCATAGAGATTGTTGTTCCAAGTCCGCCATGTTTATCTCTGTCACGATCAATGACACGCGTGGTCAAAGCAGAGTTGTGTCCCTTGCGTGATGCAGCATCCCCGATTGTGTTCACTTGTCGTTGCAACGCCAACGTGACATTCCACAACAATCAGCTTTACCCTCGGGTTTCTACATGTTTAGAATACTCTTCAAAGCGCCATTACACATCGAAATCAATGAATGCAACATCATCAAACTGTCATTTGTGGAAAACGTTCGTGTGTCAAAACAGGTTTGCGAAAAGATTCAGACATATTATTTTGCAAAATGGCTATTAAGTAGACGCATGCCAGCTATTATCGAGCTGTTAAAGAAATTATCATGTTAATTTACTGTAGCCTTCTCCCCGAGTGGCATGTTGTGTCGCGTGATCACAGTTTGTCGTCTCCAACATGTCGTTATGATGACACACTGATTCATATTCCAACAGCTCCAGCCTTTGGTGTTTATATTTCACAACTTTTGAGGTACAATCGAACATGCTCTTTTTCTAAGATTTCAAAGGACGCCATACTACTCTTGTTCAGAAGTTGTTCGATCAAGGTTACAGCATTCACGGTCTCAGTAAAACTTTCAAAACGTTTTATGGTGGCCTTGTGGAGGACATTTCCAAATTTGATGCATCAGTGCCAAAAATCATGTCCGATGCAATTCCCTATTTGTACCATACATCCCAATTATTTCAGGTGAACAGTTAACTAGACTTAGCATATGTTTATGACGGGTACCACCGGTGGGGCAGGATACCCTCACCTTTTCGCGAACACCTGGTATCATCACTATTTGACAGTGGCTCACAAACACATGCTCTGTCATCGTATCGCATAGTGACAATCACTGGATTGTCTGGTTCAGATTCGGTTGTTTACAAGCAACATCGTACAGCTGAAATACTGCTGAAACAAATACATGTTTATGATCTAGTCGGTATTGTACAATTGACTCTGCTTTTAGGAAAGATTTCCTAAGGATGTACAAAGTGTTTCGTGGCTTCTATTTAGATAATGAGATAACTAGGGATACCAAGGTCAGTCGGCAGTTCGGACTGGGTATTGATGTATTGATGAACTCGTTTCACCCGAGAATTCTTTTGAAGCGCCGTGGAATTATGAAGTTGGTTTCACGTCGTTTTGAAAAATCTATAATAAATACATATAATATATAAAACCCTGTCAACGAAGGACAGTAAAACCACTAGATCATCACAGATTGAGTTAAAACTAGCTAGCATATATCTTTAAAAGTAGAAAATGGTTTCACGTCGTTTTGAACAATCTATAGAAAATACAAACTGAAAAATAGAAAAGATTAAGACCCCTAATCCAAACCTAGTAACTACGTTATGTTCAATGTTCGAAGACAAACTACACATTTATACCTTATCCTGATTGTTAATAACCATCAATAATAATAATTTGCAGCAAACACGACTGAAAAATATATCTCATGTGTGTTGTTGGAATCCTTGAATAAAACTTTGGATGAAATGTTTGATGAATAATAAATATGCTTTTCACATGATAGGATTTTTTTGGACAAAATTGATCGTATTTTCTGATATAAAAAAAGACAGATCATGAAACGTGTGTAGATATTCTTTGGGTTTGCCTTTTTTAGTTATCAAAAGCTGCACCCAGCATTATCCTGGGTATATGACGGCGGTCTGTAAATAATCGCGTCTCGACCAGACAATCCAGTTACTGACATTACTGAACGTATCTACGCAGTTTGGATACGATGACATGTATCAACCAAGTCACCGAGCCTGACCACCAGATCCCGTTAGGCGCCTCTAATGTCAAGGAAGGGTTGCTGACGAACAGTTCTAACAGGTCGTCCATATTGGTATTTCTGTTATCTATAAATAGATAATTCAAGAAAGCATGTTCCCCCATACCGTCTCATTGTCTGTTCCCAATTACACGAAAGTAATCGAATCAGTCGATACGTATTACTCATGCTGAAGGATTTGTGTCAAAAGCTAAGTACTGGCAACCATTGCAATATAGGCTAGCATTATACTCTCTTGGTTATGTTCAATACAACAGCTGTGAGAATATGATTATGAAACTTTTTTCGATCTTATGTTAAAACGTTCACGAGAATATAATTCTTAACGTAATTATGGACCTTGATGTGTGGATGAAGCATGACAAGTGATTAATCAAAAGTAAATAAAAGCGCCCCAAAGCCTTTCATATCTGTAAGAGGTCTGTTCCCAAAACATAGTCCATTGTACGATTCAGACTACATCATGAGCAGGTGCTTATGATTCACTAGTATGTAAAAGCATGCCAATTGTTTACCTGAAAACAACAACAAAACCACTGGAACATTTCAGACATGTGAAAATAAGGAAGTGCATTGGACTATATTCACGACATGACTCTTATAGAGAAATATCTGTCGTGTTTGACGTCATAGAAATTATGATATCCATTTATACGTTTTAAGTAAGGCTTGATCAACATAACGAAGGAAGACGGGTTTTTTTTAATTGAAAGATGCAAGAGAATGTGCCCTCTGTGTAATTTAGATGTTGAAAATGAAATTCATATTTTACTTGTATGTCCTTTGTATGAAGATTTGCGTACGAAATATATAACTGAATAGTATCTATTTAAGCCTCCCTCATTAGCTTTCAAACTACTTCGAATTCTTTCATCAACTAACCAGCATGTAATAATATGGCTGTCGTACTATATCAATGATGCACTTACTAAACGTAACAATTTGATATAGAGTTTTGTAGACCCATCGTATTTCACTACTTGTACGTAATTTACTGCCTGTAACATGATTCTCTGTTTAGATCAGTAATTACTACTTATTGCACCATATGTATAACGTATATATGTATAACTCCAATGTATATGGGCCGGAGGCTTTTTGTACAATAAGCATCTTTGACTATGACTTTGACATGTGAAAATAAGAAAGTGCATTGGACATCATTACTCTGTCACTTGTATTGTCACTTTTATATTCGATATCTACCCGGTGTATACATTCAGTGTATACATGTTCATTATCAGAAGAGCGTCTTCTTAGCGCCATTCCGGCCATATTACGGAATAGCTTTATGACCCTTTATACCCTTCTGAACCCGGCCTTCGGCGTGACGAACGAATGCTTCAACCATTAAGCTATCCCCGTCACGCACACACCCCTATACAACACTATAATATATTGTAAAGTGAGTATATAATTCACCATGGCGACAGAAATCAATATCGTCCTGTTTAATTTAACACCACACCCTTCCCTCAAATGGTTTTATCAATACCTCATACCTGAATAAAAACAATCCATTGTCACAATGAAATCACATGATCAACATTCAATACTGAAAACAGGTTTTGATCCGGCACGTGGTATTGAACAAGACAGTGTTTACAGTGCAGCTGTCCAGGCTGGTGACAAATCCATTAACCTCCTTCGTGGGAGTTACTTGTAATGATAACACCGCAGTCACCTATTAATCTCACCATTCCATCATTAGATATCAGACTGCGGGGAATGTCAAGGACAGGTTAGCCATGGTCCTACAAAGTGCTGCATTGCACCTTGAGCCCAGCCAGGGCTTCTAGATACCCTGGTTACAGAGAGAGCAGCTTAATACCCCGGGTACAGAAATGTTGACAAGATAATGTGTGCACAGATATGGTAAAACCATACTCTGTACACACGAAGGTCAACAATATACACTCATGGCAGCTTGATACCGTGGACAAAACGTTCAACAAGATACCTTTGGGATCAGCGAGGGCAACAAAACTATAAATGTCCAGACAGGACACCTTCAGGTCCAGACACCTTCAGGTCCAGATAAGGCAACCAGATATCCTGGGTCCAAACAGGGCATCATGATAACCTGTGTCCTGATAGGTCAAGAAGATACCTTTGGGCCCAAACATGGCAATTAGATGGGTTGGGACTAGAATGTGCAATAGGGTATCCTGATTGTCTATAGATTCACTGGATAGCCTGGTTGGAAATAGAACAAGACTATAAGGTTGTTAATAGGACAAGGCACTAAGGTTGTAAATAGGACAAGACACTAAGATTGTAAATAGGAAAAGACACACTGGTTGTAAATAGGACACGATACCATGATTGTAAATAGGAAAAGACAGACTGGTTGTAAATAGGACAAGACAGGCTGGTTGTAGATAGGAAAAGACACATTGGTTGTAAATAGGACAAGACACCCTGGTTGTGATAGGAAAAGACACACTGGTTGTAAACAGAACAAGGCACTATAGTTGTAAATAGGACAATACACACTGGTTGTAAATAGGACAAGACACACTGATGTAACTTGGAAAAAGACACTATAGTTTTAGATGGGAAAAGACACTATGGTTCAAAAGAAGTCAAATGCAATAAACAGTTAATATCACGTATGCAACAGACTACTGTACTGTCATACACTCTGGGTCTGGTCACACTGCCTGTATTCCTATGTGATGCTCCACAAGATAGATGTATCCCCGTCAGCTGTCACGAGATTCTAGGACCGAGATAATTGTGAAATGTGCATACATAAATGCCGTGGAGAATACAAGAACACCTGTGTCCAATATTACACTTGTAAATCAGTCTAAATCTTTTCGCGAACAATCAATACAACGGGAGCCTTTATTTCAAAGTCCAGGGCACATTGACGCAATAACTCTAATCACCGACGGCTCCCGGTAAGTAAACATGTAGTTCCACCATCCGTGTTCACTGCCTCGTGAAAACATAACATTTACCAACATATTATCACACACTGATACGAATTTAACGAGCCCATTATTAACGACATGGCTTGGAAAACAACAAACGAATAAAATAGATGTTAGATTTATTGATGGCTTCACAACATACAACCGTTTGCGTGACAAATGACAGTGTTTTCGAATTTGACCTATTTTGTAGACACAGAAACACTTTATTTGATGAAAAAGTCGGAACATAAAACCATTTATCTCCTTGAAGTGACAGGTTCGATTCGCTATAAATTCCCGAGTGACCTTATTAACGGATCCAATGTGATGTTGGGGAGGTACTCCGGTAGCTGCACACTAGCTGACGGTGGCTTCTACCCTATTCTACAACTTCACCGACGACAGGTCTAACACAGGACACCAAGAACCACGTGATGAAACATTACGTTTAAAACACCTACGCTGTAATTCTCGGAGAGCCATTCCGCACAGCCGGACCGACGACCTGGTGCTGATGTTGGCGGATTGAAAAGTAAGTATGTCCAATTTTGTTGGAATATTTAAAGACAGCTTTAAACACAGAACAAACACAGGTTGGCAGCAAATTCATGTGCCAACATGTGTTTTTACACGAGATATCTGTTTTGTGAAACTTTCACCATTCGCTTCTCTAAACGCCATTTTGTAAGTCCACGTAATGAAAAGGCTGATCCCTACGAAGTATTTGAAAGGATGTAAGCTTCCAATATTCACAAGTGAAAATCGATTTTGAAATTCGAAAACTTAATTTAAGATAATTGTGAGAAAGGAGCCCGTTGTTTTTATTTCTCTCTGTCTCTGTCTCTCTCTCTGTGTGTGTGTGTCTGTCTGTCTGTCTCTCTCTCACACACATACACACACACACGTATTTCTCTCAATAATGCAATAATGTAGCACTTTGGGTACCTTCAGGGCGTGGATTAATAATACAATGATTATTTACATCAGAATCAGGGTTCTTTTAATGCGGAATGTTCGAGCACGCCAGTATAATGTTGTTATGTCACATCGTGTTTGGTGGAAACTATCAGGACGGGTATGGCAGCGCTGAACAAAGGTTATAAATAAGAGCAACTTCTGGAATTTGATCAAGGTGAGGAGTGAATAGGTGTGTGTCTGTGTGTGCGTGCGTGCGTGCGTGCGTGCGTGCGTGCGTGTTTTGAAGAGGAGGGGAGGAGAAGTGTGCGTGCGTGCGTGAATGCGTGTGTGTGTGATCCCTAGGGACATCTGGAATTGAATGTGTATTTCTGTGTACTGTGAAAATACATGCATGCATGCAAACATACACATGCATACATACATACATACATACATACATACATACATACATACATACATACATACATACATACATACATACATACATACATACATACATACATACATACATACATACATACATACATACATACATACATACATACATACATACATACATACATACATACATACATACATACATGGTGGGTTCCAAAGGACACACACGGGGTAACTCGATACATTTTATCAGTAATTCACCAACTTCAGTGGAAATCGATGTTCATGTACCCGATAAGATAATGTGTTAAGTGATATCCAGTGTCATCTTAACGCAATGTTACGGTACCTCAGTGAGCTCAATTATGTGCAGTCGGGGTGGTGGGTGGTTCATGTCTTACAAACACGCACGTGTGCGTTTAGGCACACACCATACTGAGAGGGTTTATCCCGTACTTGTGACACATTTCACCTCCATTGTTAACGATTCACCGTGTTTTTAAAAGTATATTTTACTCACAGATAACATTTATAAACCTTTACTATAATTTAGAACAAGTAATCACAAATTGCCAATAGAAAAGGGTCGCTGGTCGAACATCCCTCGTGAAGAGAGATTTTGTAGTGTGTAATTCTCAACAAATTGGCGACGAATTCCATTATTTATTTTGATGTAAAGCATTGGCGAATGAATGTTCTTCTCTTATCAGTGATTATTTTTATAAATGGCCTATTAACATGTCAGAACATTAGCAACTTGATGGGATAATAAGATACATGTCCTGAAAAAACGGTCAAGATTTCTGAATCTTATGATTGCCATCTTGTCGTAATTTCTCCATAACTATTAAATATAACTCATGTACCATCGTTGGTGGTTCCTTTGAGTAATAAAGTGAACGGCTCAACCGCAGCAGTGTTTGTGTAACGTCGCACTGAGCAATATTCCAGCTACATGGCCGTAAATAATCGACCCGACAACCCAGTGATCAACAGTATGAGCATCTATCTATAAATGGTACGCGATGACATGTGTCAACCAAGTCAGTGAGTTTGATCCACCGTTAGTCTATTGGGGATGGAGGGGTGTGCATGTGTGTTGGAGATGAGGGTTAATTTAGTTGTTATTGTAAAACGGAAAATGGTTTCAACACCATGTTTTTAGTTTTGGGCATTTGTGGTGACCCAACCCTTAAAATCTTGGACCCGGCCCTGAATCCACCACCAGCTCTCGCCCAGCCCCACAACTAAATCAATGACCCGCCCCTCTCCATCCATGCTGTATGTCACCGTTGAGACAGCAAGGCCCCTCAGCTTGCAATTGTACGCCAATCCCAACGACCATTTTCGAATTTTCTTCCTCCTTTCATTGTCATCAAGTACCCTACAAACTAATGGCGTCTGCTTCGTTAACAATATGTCTACTGAACAGCGTATTGCCAGCACACACATTACCACATCAAGCTGCCTTTACTTGTAACACTTTATAAAAATAATACACCCATTCGATCAAAACTCATCACACGCTAGCCTAATTTTTAGCATCCTGACAATTTGTCCGTACAGTTTCATTATGGATTCTGTTCAATATTTCCTCTCCAATTCCATCAAATCGTCCCCGCTTAACGCCCGAGTCCTGCTTGGCCCACGGTCGGTATTTGTCGACTGCAGCGCTGCTGTGTACACGTCCTGTCACTGTCAATCACAAGGTACATCGTTCCCAGGTGTCACGTTCGATCGGCGTTAACGCTGTTGCGTCTTATCGTTAAGCGCTTAATGGGAAACCAGTTGTTTTAGTTTATGTTGCTATAGCGACAGGGGGGACATACTGTTCACAGTTCGGAGTCGCCCACGTGTCGCAGACGGGTGCAGTTGTACTGCTACTACCATCAGTTTACTACTACTACTACTACTACTACTATTACTACCTCTTCTACTACTACTACTACTACTTCTACTACTACTACAACAACTAACAACTACTTCTACTTCTACTACTACTACTACTACTACTACTACTACTACTACTACTACTACTACTACTACAACTACCACCGCTACCACAACTACTACTTTTTCTACTACTGTTGCTGCGTTTATTATATTACCACTACTGGGGTAACCTAGTGATTAAAGTGTTCGCACCTAACGCCGAAAACCCTTGCCGATTCCCTCATGGAACCCAATGTATGAAACCCCCAAGAAAGAAAAACGTTTGAGGTGCCGCTGTCCAAGGCCTGCAGCCTCCTGCTGGGTCTTGAAGCCCCCTTGGAGTCAATTGCACATTAGCTACTCAGAAGAGTCACTGACAACGATGCATTCAGTGAGTGAGTGAGTTAATATTTAACGTCACATCGGCAATATTTCACCCATATCGTGACGAGAACATATTTGACATTGAAATGGAATATGTGTATATGATAAAAACCTGTCATCAAAGGACAGTAAAACAACTACAATATCACAATTAACATTAAAACTAGTGTGGAAAGTTAAAACTAATAGCACTATTTGGACAATACAATATAAAAACAGGCTATAGATCGCCAACACCTGAAAGTAGATCACCAAACTAGGGACCATGGGGACTTACAGTATCTTTGCTACCTGCATGGACCCTAGTTGGATTTACACCAACGATGCATTCAGACTTATTAGTGTGATTTTTAACGGGTTTTTATGTTTTTCCCCATATAAACCCACTTTGGCGTGAGAGTTATCAGTTTTGTCGTGAGAGCGTGACATGGGTAACTAAAGAGTGAGTTAAGCCACCCTGACACTTGCACGAGTTTTGTCCTCGCACTGGTACGCAATTTTGCGTGCCGATGAGTTAATTCGCCGTAAACTGATGTGAAGTGTGCATAAACTGTGCGGGGCTGCGTACCAGTGCGCAAAGAAAAGTTTGAAATGTTCAAAATTTCTGGTACGCATAATCTTCGTGTCACTTGCGTGAACTAGTCGTGAACATTGCGCAACCTACTCGCAAACACTGCGAGCGATGCGTATCAAAGCGTGTCAATTTCCGGCCCTGGTCGCATTGACACGCAGTGTCACGTATTGGCCCGCTTTGATCATGAACTGTGTGCGACATGGTCCCCACAGATTGCGCAAAGTTCACGCCTTCTAACTTGTCGTGAAGTGGGCGGGCGGGACTTGCGTATTGTTACGACTTGTTCACGAGGTCATGGCACAACGGGTTCCCGCATAGTTTGCACACGACACGAATAGTTTGCGCATGTCACGAAATTGATATGCATTGGGCACGCCTACTTCACGCATTGTTCGCGCACGAATCAGCGACGACCGCGCACTCGGCAGTGCGTACATAAAAGCGTGCCCATCGCCAGTCCCCACATTCCTCAAACTCGACAGCGAACAGTCAACAAGATGACAACCAGAGGAAGAGCAGGCCCAGCTGTGGATAGAAGACTTGAAGAAGAGACCGGACAAGAAACAAAGACAGAGAGGGACAGAGACAGAGGGACAGAGACAGAGGTCTCAGAGAGGAAGAAGGATACAGTAGTATTGGGCTGTCACCTTATCCCAAGGATATGGACACTCCTCTCATGACCCCCGACACTGAGAGTGGACATATCTTTAACTTAATCCTTCACTTGTAAATATGTTATGTTTTCGCATAAGTAAGTGTGTTTAACAAAAAAAAAGAAGAAATATATCTAGTTGGGGTTACGTCTTCTTCTTTGGCCTGCTCTTGCTGCATTTGCTGGTCTTCCAGAAGTAGTAGTGCTGCACCTGCGAGATATAGACACCTTGTCTTTTCTGCAATAAGAGATTGTTCTTTAGTGTTCAACATCTTGTAGGTCCACAGCAATGCACAAAGCTGGGGTGATGCCTGCTATTGATATAGCGGGGTGTCAAGCGGGACAAAGCGGGACCAAATAATACCAATAACAGATATAGACACCTTGTCTTTTCTGCATTAAGAGATTGTTCTTTAGTGTTTAACATCTTGTAGGTCCACAGCAATGCATAAATCTGGAGTGATGCCTGCTATTGATATAGCGGGGTGTCAAGCGGGACAAAGCGGGACCAAATAATACCAATAACAGATATAGACACCTTGTCCTTTCTGTAATAAGAGATTGTTCTTTAGTGTTTAACATCTTGTAGGTCCACAGCAATGCGCAAAGCTGGGGTGATGCCTGCTATTGATATAGCGGGGCGTCAAGCGGGACAAAGCGGGACCAAATAATACCACGACTGCTTCACGCATGCGCGAAGTGGTTGTGGCAATGCATGCCCATGCTGGAACCGTGCGCGTCGTGCGTACCATGCCGTACACTAAACGTAAACAGTGCGCAAACAATACTTGACCTAGACGTACATAAGTCGTGCGATAGCGTGTCAATGCGTGACAATGCGCACCATTTTCGGTCACGCATTGCATGCCAAGTGCGTAACTTATGCGTAAGCAGGACGCGAACAGTGCGCAAACTATGCTTCACGCTTTCATGCGTACCACCTAAATTACACGCATTGCCACGACGAATTGCGCGGCAGTGCGGGGACAAAATTCGTGCAAGTATCAGGGTGGCATTACAAGCCAAATGCGTGAGAGTTGTCAGGTTAGCAGTCAATCCTTTCAAATTATCATTCCATGCAATACCATTAGCTGAAGCTATTACACGGCAATATATCACGCGTCCCTTTGTCCAAGATACTGACATTTGTACATGTTGCAGGGATCGGGCGAAATACCATCAACACTTACGGGCCTAGAATATGATTGATGCCATTCTCTACATCCACTTGAATGGATGTATGGAACAACTGGTATGACAGGTCAGTGACGTCATAGTTTATTACTAATTCCCTTTGTAATGAATATGCAAGTAAATTGACGAACAAAAGAAAGTACACACTGGGTTTGTAGTCATTATTTTCCGAAAAAAAACCCGTGTCATTAAACCGTCGACGTCGGCTGAATCGTTTATCAACGAGGAACCTGACGCGCCGGCAACATCGCAATTAGGTACGATATATGTGGTGTTTTGGCAACAAAAATAATGTTTATGACAAAGGAAAATATTTACTTCGCTTTTTCTCCAACTTAAGACATGTTGGGGTTGATATAGTTTTCTCCGTAGTTTTTGGGCTATGGGTTAGCCCAGTGGTTAAGGCGTTCGCTCGTCACGCCAAAGACTCTTGTTTGATTCCCTCACATGGGTGAAGCCAATTTCTGGTGTCCCCCGCCGTGATATTACTGAAATATTGCACAAAGCGGCGTAAAACTAAACTCACTCACTTTCAGTAGTTTTGCAAATGCCACAGTTGTTTGATGCCATTATGTGGGTTTAACAACCGTTCCTGGTCACGCGACATTTTAGAAATACTTAATATCATTACAGCGTGTGACATTACAGAATGTGGTGAGCTCCACCCAATACACCCATAAGGGGAAACCACGGGCGTTTGCGGTACGAGTGGTTAACACACACACCAAATAAACTACCATGCAAAAATCCCCAACATACACTTGAACATTGGATTTGACTCAAAATTACAGAAGTTATCAAAACGATTTTAGAACAGTTAGAAACAGTCGCCGAAACACTGCAAGCGTAAGGTCCGAAACAGATGCTCATGCTGTTGATCACTGGATTGTCTGATCCAGACTCGATTATTTAAGGACCGCCGTCATACAGCTGGAATATTCGGCGTTAACCAACAAACAAACAAAAACCTTCCCAGAAATCTAATCTAACAAGCCGTCACACATATTATATTATTATTAATATAGGATATTTATATAGCGCACATATCCAGGCAACTAGTGCTTGCTCAAGGCGCTGATATTTTGATATTTTAGCCGGCTCGCTCACCGAGCCCCCGGTGACAGTTCGGGACAATTTCCTTTACAAGCCATGTAGCTGGAATATTTGTAGCTGGAGTACGGCGTTAAACAACCGCCGAACCAAACCAAACCACAAAGATACCACAATGATACCTCAATGATACCACAATGATACCACTTTTACCTGCATCATCATGGAATACATAATCATTTCATGTTTGTTGCGGTTTAGCCACAATCAATCCTGGATGTATTGTCCCAAGGTTTATATGAAAGTACACATTATGGAAAATGGTCACTCGACATTAACTTTGACATTGTATTTGACTATCCTTTTTTATTTATTATCAGACATCTCACCGGCTGATGTAACTACAACTATGGAGAGAGTCAGGATCTGTGTTGGAGGGACTCATTTTGTCACAACCAGGGAAACATTGAATAAGTATCCAAGAACACCATTGGCTGAACTGAACAAGTCATGTGACAATTTTGACGATTCAGAAAACGAGTATTATTTCGATCGTGACCCGGCTGTGTTTGCGTGCATTCTGAACATGTACAGGACGAAGGAGCTTCATGTCACCCAAGCCCTTTGTGGTAATGCTGTCAGAAATGAACTGGAGTTTTGGAAGATTCCCGAAACAGTTATCGCCCCTTGTTGTTGGCGGACTCTCCACCAGGTGGACCAAGACAAGGAGATACTGGATTCATTGAATAAAGGCAACATGAAGGGAGACAAGTCTGAAAAATCGTGTCATTCTTGGCGTTTTCGTGTGTGGAGGTGCATGGAACAGCCTAATTCTTCCCTGACAGCAAGGGTAATTCTTATTTGATCAATTTGTTTGTTTGTTGCTTAAAGCCATGGTAAAGAATAATCTAGCAATAACACGGTGTTATGTACATAATCAAGTCTAGACCAGTTAATTCAGTGGTTGATATAATGAGCAAACATATGTCAATCAACCAAGTGACAGAGGCCCGAAGCGTTCAGTCAATCAGCATAGGCTTAGTGAGTGAGTGAGTTTAGTTTTACGCCGCTTTTAGCAATATTCCAGCAAAATCACGTCGGGGGACACCAGAAATGGGCTTCACACATTGCATCCATGTAGGAATCGAACCCGGGCCTTTTGCGTGTCGAGCGAACACTTTAACCACTAGGTTACCCCACCGCCCGCGTAGGTTTAGACCCAACACCCACCCCACCATGGCAGTGATGAATGAACATCATGTATTTCCCCTGATTTACGCTACTGACAAGCATGGTTTGTAATACACCGGTTAAAATAGGTAGGGCTCAGTAATATTTGTTCAAGTGGGAGGTGTGTGTGTATAAATTAACTACAACAAAATACTTTCTTCTTCAACATATAAAACGTCAGAAAATAACCAGTTTCGATTATCCGTCGAGAACATTCCATTGGGTGTGAAAGGCAAACTAGCTTTGAAAATTATATGAAAAAATCAATGAAACTCAGTGATGACACCAGATGTTCATGGCGTGGCAAGCTTGTCCTGCCCTACTGTGGCAGCTGGCATTCATATGCAGTCATATGCAGTCTTTGTAAACAATTTTTTGTCTACATGTGTATATTCAATCATGTATGAGCATCTTCAGCTTACCTTCCTCGTGAATGTGTTTTGTATGTTTTCGATGATATTTCTTGTTTGAAGGGGGGCGGTGGGGTAGCCTAATGGTTAAAGCGTTGGCTCGTCACGCCGAAGACCCGGGTTCGAATCCCCACATGGGCACAATGTGTGAAGCCCATTTCTGGTGTCCCCCGCCGTGATGTTGCTGGAATATTGCTAAAAGCGGCGTAAAACCAAACTCAGTCAGTCAGTCTTGTTTGAAGTCCGCCATATAGCTGGAATATTGCTGAGTGTGACGTAATACTAAACCTCATGTTTGAAGTAAATTACACAGAATGGTTTTTTGCTTCGCTGTTTACAAGTTTTCGTTATGGCATCGACAAGAGAAAACAATTTGCTTGACTCAAGTCATCGTATCCCAATTGCTTTGATTGATGCTTATGCTGCTGATCACTGGATTGTCTGGTCCAGACTTATTTGAAGACCGACTGTTGTTATCCCAATTGCTTTGATTGATGCTCATGCTGCTGATCACTGGATTGTCTGGTCCAGACTTATTTGAAGACCGACGCCACAAAGTTGGAATATTGCTGGGTTCGCAGTTAAACAACAAGCAAACAGCCACCACACACACACACACACACATCCTCTCGCTGCCTTGGTTGACATATGCCGTCTTATCCCAGTTCCGTTGATCGATGCACCTGCTTTTGAACACGGGATTGTCTTGTCCAGACTCGATTATTTACAGACCGCCGCCATTAGGCTGGAATATTGCCGAGTGCGGCGTTACACAACAAACAAGCCTAAACAATGGACTGACTGACTGACTGAGCTTGGTTTTACGCCGCTTTTAGCAATATTCCAGCATCATCACGGCCGGGGACACCAGAAATGGGCTTCACACATTGTGCCCATGTGGGGATTCGAACCCGGGTCTTCGGCGTGACGAGCCAACGCTTTAACCATTAGGCTACCCCACCGCCCCCTTAAACAATAGAATCTGATTCAGGGGAAAATCGAGACTGTTGTTATTGGTTTTGTCCACGTTGGCGTAATATATTCACTATTTACTCTAAACATAAAATATATTGCTATCTTGTTTTAGATCTGGAACGTCATACTGGCGCTGATGATACTACTGGCCTCCATCGTGTATTGTCTGGACACTGAACCAGGTCTTAGAATCATGCCAGAAAACGGGACCGATGAGTACTGGACGTACCGGTATGCCCAGAAGACAAACATAGACAACAGAATTCTCCTCCTCATATTCACGGATTATAACAAAATCATATATATCATTGACTTCATATGTCTTCTCTTCTTCTCTGCTGAGCTGGTCGTGCACCTGCTGGTCTGCCCAATTCTACGTTTGTTCTTCTGCAGTATCATCAACTGGATTGACATCTTGACCGTTCTCATCGGCTGGTCAGTGTTCGTGCTGGAAGAGGGTAGCAGCCAGGATCTGTTTGAGGACGTCCAAACCGCGTTTTATAGCTACATGGTTTTCAAGAGTCTCTATGCCATCCGTATCTTTAGGATCTTTCGCCTAATGCAAAGCAATTCAAACCTACGTATAATCTTTCTGTCTCTCATGGAGTGCAAGAGGGAACTGATTCTGCTAGTTCTTTCGTTTTTCATTTTAGCTACAATATTTGGATCATTCGAGTACTTTTGTGAAGGGACAAATAGCAAGTTTGAGTCCATACCGCTTGCCATATGGTGGGCATTGGTTACCATGACAACCGTTGGGTATGGTGACATGTACCCTACAACGACCTGTGGATATGCCGTTGGTTCTGTCTGTGCATTGTTTGGTGTTTTAGCTCTAACACTACCCGTTGCTGTTATCGCCACCCACTTCAGTGATTACTACACAGTCAATCAGTGGAGGTCCAAGGCCAAGAAAAGAAAACAACGACTATTGTCTGGTGAGTGTCAATCTCAGAGGGAATGAGCGAATTACGGTTTAACGCTGGACAGTACTCCTGCAATATCCCAATTATGAAAAGGGCTTCACATGTGGTTGCCGTGTAGGTCTTTCGGCGTGACAGGCAAACGGTAATCACTAACTTCTTTGAGAGGCATTGCTGGGCATACACCGAAACGTTGCTCTCACAGCGATAAGGAAGTTGTTCATCCATATATTGTTATCCTTCCGGTATTCACTGTCCTTCCGCTACCCCACCGCACTGTCATAAGAATGGATAGCACATACGTTTATGGTAAGAGCATGGGCTTGCATGGACTTGACATGGGTTAGTGCTGAATGCTTGCATTGTGGATACCCCGTTGTTTCTGCCTGTGCGCTGATTCGTCCAGAGTGAGTGCTAAATCTTTACATTGTTGATACGTTATTTGTCCCGCCTGTGCACTAATTCTCCAAGAGAGAGGAACCGGGTTAGAATTGGTCTTTAATAACCCATGCTTGTCGTAAGAATCGACGGGATCGGGTGGTCAGGCTCGCTGGCTTGGTTGACACATGTCATCGTATTCCAATAGCGTAGATCGATGCTCATGCTGTGGATACATTCAGAACACCATTGCTTCCGTCTGTGAACTTATTCTTCAGGACTTTATGCTAAGTGGATACATTCAGAACACCATTGCTTCCGTCTGTGAACTTATTCTTCAGGACTTTATGCTAAGTGGATACATTCAGAACACCATTGCTTCAATCTGTGAACTTATTCTTCAGGACTTTATGCTAAGTGGATACATTCAGAACACCATTGCTTCCGTCTGTGAACTTATTCTTCAGGACTTTATGCTAAGTGGATACATTCAGAACACCATTGCTTCAATCTGTGAACTTATTCTTCAGGACTTTATGCTAGGTGGATACATTCAGAACACCATTGCCTCCGTCTGTGAACTTATTCTTCAGGACTTTATGCCAAGTGGATACATTCAGAGCATCATTGCTTCCGTCTGTGAACTTATTTTTCAGGACTTTATGCTAAATGGATACATTCAGAACACCATTGCTTCCATCATTGAACTTATTCTTCAGGACTTTATGCTAAGTGGGTACATTCAGAACACCATTGCTTCCGTCTGTGAACTTATTCTTCAGGACCTTATGCTAAATGGATACATTCAGAGCACCATTGCTTCCGTCTGTGAACTTATTCTTCAGGACTTTATGCTAAGTGGAAACATTCAGAACACCATTGCCTCCGTCTGTGAACTTATTCTTCAGGACTTTATGCTAAGTGGATACATTCAGAACACCATTGCTTCCGTCTGTGAACTATTTTTTCAACAGTTTATTCTTAATGGACACAATATGCACACAACGTTGCTTCTGACTGTGCTGACGGCTTTGGAATGATTCATGGATTGAGGATAATTAATGATCGATGTAGAATTCTTGATATGGCATGCAATATCTTTTCACTGCATTACATTGGCAGGATGCGCTTCCGGATTCATTGGAAGGCCAACATTGTAATCAGGAACCGGATGCACTCAGATATTTAAATTTTAGAATTTACTTATAGGAAGTACAGTTTATCAGAATAAGCCATTAACGCAACATGAACATGTCAATTGCTAAATTTTGAAGCTGTGGTTCAAGCTATGCTTCTACATAATCAATCTTCGAATGGTTTCTTTCTGGGCTAGACTTATGTATGGGAAAACATCTTCAATAGCTTTCATCATGTAAAACTGATGATCATTTAATGGGAACGTAAACATAAATGAACGCCACACAATACAGCTCTAACTCGATCGTAGTTACAAATACATAAACAATATTCAAATTTCAAAGTGAAGGTTATCTTAAAATACAATTTACAGACGAACTAAATGGTAGCTACAAGGGGCAATATTTTGATATGTCTGAAATTGATATGGATGAATTTGAATCGCTTGTTCAAAGTGATGCCTAAGAGAAGGAACAAAAAGAAAACTGTCCATCTTGTGTAAAATAAATCATGAAAAAGTTACAATCTGAAAGAACTAATTCACAATTATTTGCAAAAAAATCCATTTAAGCTTCTACTTCTTCCTACAGCTCTCAAACACGTTTTTGTCATTGTTATACTGTAATAATGTACATTTTTGGTACGATCAAAATCTTAACTTACCTTGTAATTTAATCAAGATTATCCGTCAGCTTTTTTTTCACCATCTAAATGTTTCCACAGCAAGCGATGCGATCTACATCAGGAATATGGACAATTTCAAATGTCATAATATAAAATTTACAGGTTTTAAGTGTTTTTAATGCCCATGTAAAAGGAGAAGGTTCTTGTTCTGATAACTATAGATGCAAAATTATATTTGATTAATGTGCCTAGGATTAAGTAAAATAGGATACTAATCACATAAGTACTCTGTGTCCCTTTAACACACAAGCCAGCTATCCTCAAAACGTTCGTAGCCCTAAGAATTCTTAACGTTGATCGTAGCCAATGTGTTAAGAATGGGCTTAAGAAGTTCGTACGACTTCGAACGTTTCAAGAATAGCTAGTCTGGTGAAGATGTGGGTTAGAATTGGTCTTCATACTTTAACATAGACTTCCGACTGTCGTAGCGCTACGATCGCTTTGGGGAACGGGGCCCTGGTGTGTTAAAGCGACGCAAACTCTTCACAGCTAATTGCGGGGCCATAGACGATTAGTTCATAGATGTCCCCGCTCTTGCAGCACACGCTTCAAATACTACACTTTATATGTATGTTATATGTAGCTGACTTGAGTGTCAATCCTTGCTTCAAATTTTAAAATGTCAAATAGTATAAGTTATCTTGAAGGTAATACGGTCTGATGTACGTCTGTTTGTAGCAGTGTCACTGTGAGGTGAGGTGAAATTGGGTTTAACGTCGTGCTTGAGAATATTCCGCTCATATGACGACGTGCATGCGTGTGTATGTGTATGTGCGGCTGCTTGTACTAGCCCAGACTTAAGCTTGTTTTATAGTGCTAACCCACTGAGATACCATGCCGCAGTGAAGCATGAATACCCCACTCAGACACATTATACTGACTCCGAGCCGACCAGTCCTTGTTGTACCCATTAATGCCGAGCGACAGGCAGGGAGCAACAAGTACCTATTATTTTAACGTCTTTTGGTATGACGCGGTCGGGGATCGGACCCGCGACCTTCCGCTCTCCGGGCGGACGCTCTAACCACTACACCACAGAGGCAGTCAGTGTCACTGTGACAAACGGGCGTACATCAGACCGTATTACCCGAGGGAGAAGCAAACAACGTATTTATGTTACCGCCATGTTAAATGTACAAAATATCATTTTATTTTATTTTGAAGATCGCTACGGATTATGACATGTTAAACACAATGGCGTCTGTTCCGCGACAGCATTTTTAAAATCAGGGAAATATATTCTGACAAGCTTAAAACTACTATAAAAATGGTTAATGTGTGTAAGTTGAGTGTGCAAACGATTCAATGTGTAACATAGTTTAAATAAAGCAGTGGAAGTCGGTAAAATAAATGTGAACTCAAAAACAGCTAATCGAATGGTTTTCGAACTCCGTGCAATGCATGCGTCAAATCATGACGTCCTACGATTGTTAGCGATACAGCTTCACGGCGGAGTGTTTGGCGTTTACCGTGGCAGAGGGTAATATTTTTTCCAGCTGTCACCTGAAGTTGAAGTATTTTACATGAAGGTAACATAAAACATGCTGCAATGCATCAACACAAACATTTTTACGAAGTTGTGACGATTTAACAAGGCGTTTACTATTTGCAACACTTACATTTCTGACAATGTTGTTTGCTATTTCTGATGTACAGGCTGGTGTTTTCTTTTTTCATGAGTACGGACCTATAAATCGTGATGAAATTGGAGTTTCAGTTGGTCCTCTGGGCATAAGCATTTCTTTGATGGTCAACCTGGAAAGAACGCGAAAATTATTTAGAAATAGAAGCACACGTAAAAGTACCATGGTAGCCATTCACAAACAGTGGCCGTATCCAGCTGTGTGTACCTTACAGTGAGACATTTAACACAATGAAGTCATATAACAGTCATATAACAGTCATATAACAGACATGGCAGTCATGCTCAATCGCTGTTCGCGTTTTTTCCATGTCGTATCATAAGTTGCAGTTGAAGGTGGTGAGGTGAAATTGGGTTTAACGTCGTACTTGAGAATATTTCGCTCATATGACGACGTGCATGCGTGTGTATGTGTATGTGCGGCTGCTTGTACTAGCCCAGACCGAAGCTGGTTTTATAGTGCTAGCCCACTGAGATACCATGCCGCAGTGAAGCATGAATACCCCACTCAGACACATTATACTGACTCCGAGCCGACCAGTCCTTGTTGTACCCATTAATGCCGAGCGGCAGGCAGGGAGCAACAAGTACCATATTTTAACGTCTTTTGGTATGACGCGGTCGGGGATCGAACCCGCGACCTTCCGCTCTCCGGGCGGACGCTCTAACCACTACACCACGGAGGCGGTCAGTTGCAGTTGGATCACTAGTAAGCTGGGCGAACTGGTTTAATTATGCTTGTTGATATTGTGAACACATAATCTTTGGTCTTTACCTTAGCTTATACAATCTTCTCGGGAATATCTGTGAAGGTGCGATTAGAACTGTTCTTCTGCAACCCAGGCTTGTCGTACAAGGCGACTGAAGGGATCGGGCGGTCAGGTTCGCTGACGTGGTCGACACATGTCATCGTATCCTAAATGAAAAGACGCTCATGCTGTTGATCACTGGATTGTCTAGTCCAGATCAGTGTGTGAATTAATTTTGAAAAGTCACAGGCCAGGAGGGTTAGTTAAGTGAAAATGTTGCTAGCCTACATCATACTTCACTGGCCCTGCAGAATATCAATATCACAATGCCATCAAGTTAAATGTTACATTTGTATTGTAATAGTTCCTATCCTCTTTTGCTCTTTTATTAACATTTTTATATAGCGATCTTCGTGTGACAAGATATAATAAATGTCATGGAACTTTTGCGGACTTACTTTTAACACCTTAATAACTGACTTAATATTATTCATGTGCATTAAATAAAGAACAAATTATCTGAGAATTTCAGCCAGCCAATCGGGATAGCTTTAAAATATATTACTGGCCCGATTCACAATCAGCTAGCATTTGGCTATCGGGCCAGCAGCTATTTCGAACGCTGGTCCAGATTCGTTTATTTACAGACCACTGCCATATAGCTGGAATATTGCTGAAAGTGATATTACACAACACACAAACCAAACCAGTGGAATCTGATTCCGCATGCGTC